GTAACACTTTGGGGCAAAGATACATAGTAGAAGGCCATTACTGGAGGCTAGGATGGCAAAAACCTCCACATCCACAGGGGACAAAAGATGCACGGAAGATCAGCATGCTGAAGGTGATGAATCAGAATCAGAATCAAAGTTTATTTGCCAGATGTGCTTACACATACAAAGAAATTGGTTTTGGTTACAGGAGCTCACAGTGCACAGTATCTGAAAAACATTTACATGTAGTAAATAAAATAAAGTAAAATAAAACGTGTACTCCTACCATCACTCACTCACACACACACACACACACACCCAGTCATACCTGTAAACCTTACATTGTGCAAAGTGTTTGTCTTATATTAAAGTGCTGAGTGCAGCAGCAGTTAAAGGGTGTATAGTGGCAAAGAAAGGGATAAGTGAAGTAATAAGGCAGGTAAGATGCTAGAAGAAACACTGGTCTTTGGTAGTTTCAGAGGATGGAATGTTGAGTGTGATACTATATACCAGTATCTTTAGAAGTCCGGTTTAGAAGTCGAAATATTGTGCGTGTGGAATAATTAACTGTTCAAGAGAGTGATGACTTGTGGGAAGAAGCTTCCAGTAGCCTGATTGTCCTGATCATTATTTGGCTGAAGCGCCGCTGAGTCAGCGGAGATTTTCTCTGCACGCTTCCTGGTTCTGGAGGCATGCAATTCCAGCAATGTGGGCAGCTTAATGCCAGTTGTCCTCTCTGCAGACCTGATGACGCGCTGCAGTCTGTGGAGGTCATGCTTGGTGGGTGAGCTACAGCTGTCCTCAACTGACACAGGAAGTTCATCCTCTGCTGGGCTCTCTTGATGATGGAGCTGATGTTGCTGTCCCATCTCAGGTCCCTGGTGATTGTTATGCCCAGGAACTTGCAGGACTCCACTGCCATCACAGTTCTGTTCAGGATGGTGAGTGCTGGCAGGGTTGGAGGGCTCCTCCTGAAGTCTGCTATCACACTTTAAGTCTACTATCATCTATAATGAATTTGGTCTTCTGGGCGAACAAGGCCAGCAGGAAACAGATGGCAGCCAGCACCAGGGAGACTGCTGCCACTAAATCCACCATAGAGAGCAGTACCACCCAAACTCCGCTTTAATGAATTCCACTTTTCCCTCTGAAGTGCCAGTTAATGATGTCGAATGAGTGTTAAAATGGATAAGCTCTCCCAATGATGTTGTGAATTTTACTGCCTTTAATGGCAGTAACTGATGGCAAAGATCACTACCACTTGAGCCTTGGAGATCTGGATTCTCTCTACAGTTCGCCTGAGCCTGCTTTGTGCATGGGATTTGGAGATAACATCCATGCAGTCCACACACACGCCTGAACCATCCAGTTTAGTCTGCAACAGTTGAAGGTTACTTTCCTGGGCTATGGCCTTAGTTTGGAAGGCATTGCTGGGGACGATGCATAAGAAGATTGGGAACCTCTTATGGTTTGGATAGAGAGAAAAAGATAGCAGAAACCTTGAAATCGCATAATTTCAGTCAGAATTCCCTTCTGGAATTAATTATCTGTACAGAGAAGAAATGAATGAAAAAAATTAAATGGACAAAAAAATCACTGAACAGCGTTAGCATTGTAGCAGAAACCTTACCATGGGGATACCAAAACACCCAGTGTAATAGCCACCACTATAGAAGCAAATGAGCGAGCATCACCAATAATGACTGCCACATTGAGAGCCCCGGTACACTATTCTCGAGGCATTGCCTCATCATGCCCCGTAACTAGCGACAGCACAGCGTTTGGGGTGCTGCCCTTAGTCAGGCAGGTGTCAGCAGCCATGCAGCCCAGTTGATTTCCTCCACAGTGGAAATCATGGCCTGAAGCCATTGGTATGAGTGCAGTTCAGCACTATAACAGATGGAGAAATGTTTACAAGAATATTGAAGGTTGGAGAAAGTTTAGTACAGCCAACTGGTTAAAGAAGTGATTAAAAAGATGATAAAAGAAGCGAGAATCCAACAGGAACAGAAGTGTGTTTTTGTGGTATGTTGGAGTTTGGAATCTGTTGGAATAGTGCCAATCTAAAATTTCTCAGTCCTTTTCTCAAATATATTTCTAGATGAAATCCTTTTGCTGTCTCATTTACAAGAAACATTTTTGCGGATTTGAGGAAAGTCACACTCATCTTCAACAGCAGCCTGCCTGTACTTTTTGAGTGAATGTGTGGTCAGGTTCAGGGGCTTCAGTGTGAACAATAAACATAGCCCCAGTAATCACATCTCCCTCTTTATACATCCCAGAGATCCCAGATCCCGGATCCCAGAGACAGCCTGGCTCTGCAGAGTACAGGTGAGTCCCAGAGAGTGACATAGACGGGCCCAGCAAGAAGCACTAGCGCCCACAGCCATCACTTGACGAGAACGTGAGAGCGATAGAGTGAGGCAAAGGAAAAACAGTGCCTGGCCTCACATATGCAGTGAAACAGGAGGATCCTATTTAGTAGCGGTAAATTTGTCCCAAGCAAAAATCCTTTGGAGTAATTTGGAGAACTTCTTATAGATCTAAAGTAAATGAGCAAATTGAGTGTGAAAAATTGAGTAAATGAAAATAAATGAGCAAAGTGTTACTTTTTTGCCTTAATCATTTAAAACTTTTAGTTACTAACCACCTTTAGGCAGCCTGTATCTGTTTAAGTTGAATTTAACCTATTCTTTTCTCATTATTATTTCTTTTTTTATTTGTATTTTATTGTATCTCACATTTTTATTGCAATTGTTTTATTTGATGTTAATTTATTTACTGTTGTATTGTAGTAAATAATTAGATTTTTCTAAAATTTGTAGTTTTTGTTTGCTTATTATCTTAGTTGGTTCTAATCCTGCTAATATGAAACTGATGAATCAAGATTTTATTTTATTGCTATTTTATGCCTGTTTAATTCATCAGTCACATTTTTATAGTGTTCTAAACACAACATTGGTAGTTGCTACCACTACCACCAATGGACAAAGAAACTCTGTGTTGTGTTTAATGAGTATTTTATTCTGATAGCAGAAATAATACAGCCCTTTAGTACTGGTTAGCAGGCCCCCAACGTCTTCTCTCCTATCCTCATCTCCTCATGGGAGACAAAAGTCAAAGGGGCAACAAAGCTTGTATCAAAGATAACAATATAACTTACGATAATTATAATGTAAAAGCAACAGCTGATTAATGATAAAAATTACTTGGCTTTGTTTACAGACAAGACAGTCTCAAACAGTAATGACATCACGTTAGCATAACCTTAGTGCTTAAGAGAATATAACATAATTTACTTTAAAATGTACCATGAGCAAAATAAGATATGGTATATTTGCTGATAATGAGCCCAGGAATGTGTCAATATATATATATATATATATATATATATATATATATATATATATATATATATATATATATACAATCTGATACCTACCTCCACATATGAGGCAAAAGTAGGAGGCAGGGGAAGGGGAGGAGATTTAAGAGAGTAAAAAGAGGAAGGGGGTGTCCCAACATACAATGCCCAGCACCAATACAGGCTATATTATGGAGAAGAATTTTGTGTTAAAACATATATAGATTTTTAACTTTGTGACATAAACATAAATGTATGAGTTATACATAATCCTTTATTATTATCATTTAATAATAGTGTTCCTTATTCCACAGAGAAAATAGAGACCACCAGATAAATCCCTTAAATGACCAGGACCCACTGGTGGATCTGAACTTTTATTGCATTTCCATAGCCTAAGAACAGCTCAGCCCTTGCTATTATATTCCAAATAGTACTTGAATAATAAGTGAGCGCTATGTGCACTTCACCAGTGCATTTACATTGCATCTTTGAAAGGCAAGACCAGAGTTCCAATCCTGGAGTACCTCTGAACTGCATATTAAAAGTTGTGCTTATGCTCAACAGTAACCTTCCTGTAAATACTTGTAGAACAGCTGCTAATATTTCCAGAATCCAGCTAACTTGACTGTTTAGAAAGAAGTTAGACTCACAAGTCAGATTACAAAATATAGTTACAATCAAGCAGCGTAAAATCATTAAAATGTCATTTGATTAACATTTTGGCAACTTTCAGCAATCCAGAAAAGCTTACTCGTGTATTTAGAATCTCTCATAGATTTTAGGTGGGTACTGTAGGCACTTGTAGCTACTTAATATTGCTTAGTCTGCACAAGACATTAGCAAAAGGTATAGGGTGCAGGATGAGCAGAGGGGGAATGGCTCCCCTTGGGACATCAGTTGATACTGTTGGTTTTGGTGCAGCAAGGAGGATTCTGGTGCTGTGTCAGCATCACATGGAGTGCTGGAGGTACTGGAGCCACCAGGATTTCATGGGTGACAGAGGCTATCGGAGCAGGCGAAAATGCATATTCAGAAATAGTTGCCACTTACATGGAGAGAGAGTAGTGTAACCAGTCAGTCAGTGTTACAGTAGTCTAATCTAGAATTTATCAAAACATGAACTACTTCCTCAGCATCTTTTAGAGTTGGCATGTGGGTCATTCCATGCCAACCTAGCGAGGGGCTGCCTTGTCACATCATGAAGTGTGGTCATCTGTCATAACACACCTCACGAGGATTTTGCAGACATGTGCTCGTCCTGCTTTTTCTGGTCTTTTTTTTGTGTATGAAATAAGTTTGTATGAAATAAGTCTGTCTAAGGGAATGGGGTAAGTTTAAATTAAAATATTTATTTGCATTATGGCAAAGATCATTAAAAATAAAGGATAAAATTATGAGACACAAAACATCTTTATATGAACCTTTTTGTTGATTATGATGTAATATTTTAATCTCATGGTCACTTTGCAAAGTATTTGCAGGTGGTATTTTAAATCATTGCGCAGAATAGTACTAAAGAAACTAAAGCTAGCTACAGGAAACCTTAGTCTTAGTGAACCTTTTTCTTGTATAGATTAAAGTTTGTGATAGTCAGGAGATATAAAATGGATCACATTGCAACTCTCCTGCCAAAATCTTTCATTTTGTTCACCTATTTGGCCATCATGTTCTTTTTTGTATTCCTCTCTGGTCTGAGCAGAATAATGTAACACTTCGGGGCAAATATACACACTAAAAGGCCATAACTGGAGGCCAGGATGGCAAAGATCTCCACAGCCACAGTATACTTCCCTGGAGAGCTGACGTATGCTGGCACAAAGGCGATCCACACTGCACAGAAGATCAGCATGCTGAAGGTGATGAATTTGGCCTCGTTGAAATTGTCTGGAAGCTTCCGGGCAAAGAAGGCCAGCAGGAAACAGATAGCGGCCAGCAGACCAATGTAGCCCAGAACCAGGGAGAATGCTGCCATTGAGCCCACTGCACAGAGCAGCACCACTCGAGCTCCAAGCTCACCTCCTGCATTTTCTGTAGGTAAAGGTGGTGCAAGTGTCACCCACAGCACGCAAATCCCCACTTGTACCAGTGTACAGAAGAAAATACCTGCCCTCTGTTGAACAGGGTTAAAGTATCTCATTATGTTTGAGCCAGGCAGAGTCGCCCTGAAGGCAACCAGGACCACCACTGTCTTACTGAGAACACAGGCCAGGCACACCACAAAACTAATCCCAAACAGCGTATGGCGCAGCATGCAGGACCAAGGCGCCGGCCGGCCAATGAAAGCCAGTGCACACAGGAAGCAGAGTTTGAGTGACAGCAGCAGTAGGAAGCTCAGCTCTGAATTATTGGCACGGACCAGAGGCGTATCTCGAAAACGGAAGAAAGCAGCAAGGACAGTCCCGGTAAGTGCTGCCCCTGCAACAGACAGCACAGAGAGGATGATGCCCATGTTATCTTGAAAGGAGAGGAATTCAACTAACATTGGGACGCACACTGTCTGGTCAGTGTTGGGCCACAACCGTTCTGGACACTTGGTGCACTCTGAGGAGTCTGTGGAACACAGTAAAAAGAATGGATTTCATTAATGGGAGAGACAACTGTTTTACATGTGGCAGGAGACACTAATTGTTTTTCACATTCCCTTTCTTTGTAAACAGTGTTAACTAAAAATGATTTGTTTAAATACTGTTTATCTCTGCATAGTAAAGTCTCAGCTGGACACAAATGTACACTAAAAGGTAAAACAAAAAAGTGAATATCATATTTAGAGAGGGAATAATATCAGTTAAACTTACAATTTTTGGCATTAAGCAGTAAAGATATACTGTATAAAGCATGGTTATACCGTACCAGTAGCATTACTGATCTCCCCTTTTGCACATGGTATACAGTCATAGCAGCAGATTGGCTTTCCTTTTTGCAGAGCCTTTCTGGTGCCTGGGGGACAGCTCTCACTGCACACAGACACCGGTACCTGAATAACAGATAGACAAGTCTCCACTTTGATAAACTGTTAATGACAATGGAAGTGTCAACTAAATGTTATGAGAAAAAAGAAAGACTGGGTTCTAGATCTTAAAGTGTTAGAGCCAGAGAATGCAGGATGAGATCGCCACACATTCAGTGAGCATTTTACATTGGGATGCTGTCTATTTCCTATCACAGAGATGATAAATAGATTCTGCAGCTACCAGTTAAATACATACGCTTTTTTTGATTGCTGATATGTTGCCCCCACCCTGATTGAACCATAGCACACCTTTGCTTATCTCTTAGAGAAAATGTAACTGGATAAATACTAAATACTTTTCAAAAAATATGAGCAGACGTTCTAGTCTCTTTTTGTGCCATTTTATCTTATCTTTAAATGCATAACACAGAACCAGCCACCACATTCTTACCTTGTCACCCCAGCCTCCTCCCCAGACTATATTTTTCAGGTCCAACTGCAAGTCTTGCTCTGGTCCTCTTGCTGCATCAAAGTACCCCACTTTAACAAACTCCATCTTTCCTTCAGATCCTATGTGCCAGTTAATGATGTCATATGAGGCAGATGGATCCCCATTATTGTCAAAATTGACCTGTTCACCGACTGGTGTTGTGAACTCAACTGCCTTTAAGTAATGCAGAAGCTGCCAGTGAAATATATTGTTATATACTAAAAGCTAAAAACCAGGCTTAAGGCCATTTTTAAGTATATATCTGTTCAAGTTTTTTTTTTTTACCTGTTTAGGTTGTATTGGTTTGATCTCGGGACATTCTCCGTTCTCAAATGGCCCTTTTCCAGGCTGACAGTCCAGCATGTTCTGAATAGCATGTGCAATAGCATACACAGCCTTATACACATTGTAATTGACATCAGATTCAGCCAGTACTTCCACCTTCTCTAAGCCCGTGCACTGTGGTTTCAGAGGTTCCGACTGATTTTCATCTCCAAATTTGCACCCAAACACCTCCTCCCAAACTCTCTGTACCAACGGCTCCTTTGGGTGCTTCTCTGGGCTCAGCTGGTTTAGATAGGAGCTCAGTCCTTGGATATCAGCGCTCCGAAGGGCTAAGCCAATGGTGCCTGCTAAGGTGATGCCACTCCATGTGGTGTAATAGCTCGATGTGCTCCAGGCTGTTGTGGCAATCCACTGCCTGTCTGTCACATTCTGCCTCACCACTTCCCTCAGCAAGACCTCTGTATCTGGGCTGATGGAAAAGGTCACAACCACCCGGGCCTTTGAGCTCTGTATCCTCTCTACAATTCGCCTGATTCGGCTCAGTGCATAGGATTTGGGGATTGCCTCAATGTAGTCCACGCACACACCTGAGCCTTCCAGTTCCTTCAGCAGCAGCTGCATGCCACTTTCCCCGTAGGCGTCATCTCCGTAGACAATCCCCACCCAGGACCATCCCATCATTCGCAACAGGCGAGCCATGGCTTTTGCCTGAAAAGCATTACTTGGAACTGTGCGCAAGAAGGTGGGGTACCTGGTGTGGTCACTGAGACATGCACAGGATGCAAAGTAACTAACCTGGAGACATAGAGCACAGGGGAACAAGAGCAGAGAAACTACAGTTTCAATCAGTGTTTTTGTGTTTTGCTTCTTGAGAAATAAAAGATCTATACAAACAGAAAACAGAAAGTGAGCAAAAAAGGTAAATGAGAAAAGGAAAAATCCACAAATCATCACATAAACATTAACATTGTAGTAAAATGGTGAAAATATGCATTATTTCCCATTTACCAGTGGAATGTCAAAAATGCCCAATGTATCAGCCACCACTATAGAGGCAGACGAACGGGCGTCACCAATAATGACAGGCACTTTGGGAGCCCTGGCACACTCTTCTCCAGACACTGCTTCTTCCCGCCCTGATACTAGTGACAGCGCAGCACTTAGAGCACTGCCATCAGCAAGGCAGGTGTCTGCAGCAAGAAAACCTAGTGTAAGGTTGGGCAACAGGGCTGGATCCCGGTTGATTTCTTCCACAGTAAAGATCATTGTCTGCAGCCAGCGGTACGAGCGCAGTTCAACACTAAGACCGAAAGGAAGATGTTTGGCGGAACATTAAAGGTTAGGAAAAGCTGCTTTAATCTCACTCTAAATTAAACATGAATTTTTGTGACATGCTGGAATCAGTTTATCCAAAATGCCCACAGAGGCATATCATTTCAGAATGTCCTTTGTTAAATATATGTCTGTATAAAGTCTTCCATTTCCAGTACTTTTATAATTTTTTTTTACTTCCTGTTAAGAAAGTTGCACTGTACTCACCCTCGACAGTGGCCTGCCTGTACTCTTTGTGTGAATGCGTGGTCGGGCTCAGGAGGTTCAAGATGAACAGGAAACAGACCCCCAATAATCACATCTCCCTCTTTATACAAGCTTTCAGAAACAGACCTGCTCTGCAGAGTACAATAGAGTCCAAGAGAGCGTACCCAAAACAGCCCAGCCAGGAGTCCCAGTGTCCACAGCCATGCATCTACAGCCATCACCTGATGAAGAAGAAGAGAGACAGAGTGAGTGAAAGGAAGAGGAGTGCAAGGACTCACATGTGCAGGGAGAAAGAGGAGGACCCTCTTTAGTAGAGGTAAATTTGCCCAGAGCAAAAATCATTTGTGGTAATTGAGGGAAGTCCTGGTGGATAAAGAGTAATTTTCTGGTTTACAATAACAACTTATTTAATGTGGCAACCTTTATACAGGAGTGACTGAACATATGAAACATTTCAGTTATGAAGCTGTTGTTTTTCATAAGGCTCGGGCCTTTATGCTTGTGTATAAGTATAATTTCCACATGTCCACATTTATACAGATAATTAGTTGAATGTATGATTTACATTACTTTCAGAACACAAACATTTATACATATGTATGTTTTTGCAGTGATAGTGCTCCTTGATCTTAAACCACTGGGAAAAGAAGGACAATTAAACCAAATCAGTGATCACAGATGACATCAGTGTTAATCACTCTGTTTTTCCAGAGTTGTAAGTAAATGTCTTCATTTATGATTTGTCTTGAACAATTTTTCCTGTTTTTGATACATGCAAAGAAGAGCTGACAAGAAATCATGGTATGCATGGTCTTGTCTTATTATTGAGCAATCTGTGAGATAAAGAGACTTTCTTATAAATTGTACAGCATAACCCAGCTAAACCAGTATTTTCCTACTTAGAGTTCCTGTACACTGCACATGTTAACATATTAGTTAATGTATCATGTACATACCCTTATGAAACACTGAACATAGCTGTTGTAAAATACTGTTATCAAGGCTGTATTAACATTCGTGAAATGTTTTTTTTCACTGGTTCAATTGAGCAAAAATTAGCCAGCTAGCAAGCCAGGAGTGGTTTTCAGAAACAGACCTGCTTTGCAGACCTAGTTTTGTGTGACCCCACAGGTCAGATTACAGTTATCACAACCATCCAAAGTTTAACTGATCAAATCATCTTGAGAATCTTTTTAGCACATTCTCATTGCACAGAAGCCAACACTTATATACTAACTTTAATCAAAATAAGAAGATTAACATATTAAGAAGCTTGTCTGCCGATGGCTTGCTGACTTCACGCCAACAACACCTTTCAATTAAATGAAAATGCATGGGCAGTGTCAAATGATTAAATGTGAGGGAAAAATTAAGATAAATAATAAAAAATTATAATTTTAGACATATTTTTTGTGTTGTTTATTTGTTTATGTAATACTTTTTGATCATTGAATAATTCTGCATGAGTCATTTAAATTTTTTGGTGCCCTCCTGTCATTCTTCAATATAGAAAAAGTAAAAATAAGGAAAATCTGTTCATGAATAGATGCATTCAAACTTTTGACTGATACTTTTGATAAAGTCCAGATCAATGCTTGCATAGAAATGAGCGTATAACAAAAAGAATAAAACCTAACATAAATCAACACCACTGTATATAAATTATACAATGAACAACGCAAGTGCTACAAAAGAAAACAAATAATAATATTCAATTAATAAATAAATTAAAAAAAACAAAACCAAAGGCAAGAATTTAATCATACGTCAGATAAGCCATGTCTAATTAATCTAATTCTTATTCATTTAGGGTATTTGATGAATTTCTTGAAAAGAGTTCCATCATGCATAGACCACATCTTGGAGCAGGCAAAAACCAAAACCTAGGAGAACCTAAGACTGTAATAAAGGTATTCACAGGAAACAGGCAAAACAGCATACTTGGCTCAATGGTGCAGGTGGTACATTCACAAAATGTCACACCTGAATGTGAGCCTCAGGAGAGAGTCGGCCAAAAATGAATGACAAACGAGTAACTTGTACTTAAAGCCCATTTTGACTGGAAATTAAACAAATGAAGTGTGGTCCCAGTACTGCACAGTACTGTATGTAACACTGTATGCACAAATGCATCAAAAAAGTAGCAAGTGTATCACTGGCGCCTTGCACTTTCACCTTCAACTCCTGTTTGGTGATGTGCAGTGACAGAAACAGTAATAAAAACAACACTGACACTATTTATCACTCCTGAATATCTCTGTAGTTTCTTCTAGACAACGAGAACAGATGTAAAGACAACCCATATGGAAAAAAAAACATATATATTCCAAATATACAGGGTGATTCAAAAAGATTCATCCGATTTCAAAGTGCCATATTTTTACAACCATGAGGCGCCTAGGAACCAATCACATACCAATTGAAAGAGAGTTTCTGACTGTCACTGGAAGGCTCCCTTCAGTCTGCGAGGAGATGACAACCCCTGAGCAGAAAGCCTTTTGCGTTCTGCACTTCAGTAAGAGTGAATCGTCATAACTGTGCAATTTGTTAAATACATTTTAAATGTATTTAGTTATATTTGTTTTTTGTAGTTTTTCAGTTTCATGTAGTTTCAATAAAGGTTACAGATATAGCTATATCTACATAAATAAAATGAAAGGTACTGCATTTACTGTTGTACGTATGTGGTAAGACTGCGCTCACACAAAATGTATTTTAAATAAACAAGTCACCTACAACACTTGCCTTTGCCATGTTATGTTCATTTACTAATACTTAAAATTAAGATACTGGAATACAAATTCATATCAGAAGGTATTCTAAACAGTAAACAGCATTAAACAAGTATTTTGGCTATTTTCATACATTTTCAAATGTATTTGATAAACATTTATGTACATTTATTTTTGTATGATATGTTTCTATGTGTAAATTATGTACTTGGTTAAGGCAGTATATTCTGAAATGCATTTTAATGTTTGGAATGTATTTTGATGGACTACAATGTATTTGACACATATTTCAAATATAAAAAAATATATGTTCATATATTTTTTTCCGTATGGGAAAGGAGACAGGAAGGGAGATTTCTCAAAAGATTGGCAAAATATTCCTGTAATGTCATGTGTTTATCTTGAGTTTTAGGAGACATCTTGAAAGTCACACTTATTTAAGTACTTATATTCAAAGATAATAACACTCATGTGTATCTGCGTCTGAACAAAACACAGGAACCAATTCCCATGAGACTAAGAGCCCTCTCAATTTTGATAATGTGAGCAATTGTTATTATTTTTATGTGAGCCAGATGTATCTCATATTTCTTTTTGTCCAGTGCTATTTCTCCTAGGAATCTCTATTAAGATTAGGGTTCCATCAGGTTCATTTGAGCGCACACAGCTGCTGCGAGTGTTTGTCTCTCAAAAGAACTTACTAAGGTGCAAAGCCACTGTCTCTGTTTATTAAGTATTCGTGCATTAGAAGCTGTTTAGTTCTGAGGAAAATCTTGTGAAAAAGAATGTTTGGTGCTTAAGAGCCTCGATGACACGCTTGTTAGTAGTAAGATCCAGTATTATGTGGAAACCTCACATTAAACTTCGTCCATCAGTACTTACTATTCCCGGACCTCATCATTTACAAATGAAGCCCTGGAGGGTCCATGCCGAGGAAAGCAAAGGGAAATTCTTGTGACGTGCAGTGAGCACATACCTTGGCAAGCTGGAAGTATTCTTGTAAAATGACATAAGCCCATGTGCCTCTTTATAGAGCTTGGTCTGAACATTTTAGTGGTCTAGAGAGCATGCCATCTTGACATAAAATTGATTTCTCAGGGAAAAAGAATTGCGGTGGGACACTTTTGTTTAGATCAGCCCCTGTATATTTTGATAACCCACCTTTAAAAGCTGGGTAATATACTCTCTTCCCCCTTTTTGCTTTTCTAACATGCATTAATTGATTATATGTGCTAAACTTGATTTAGTGAAATCTGGTCTGTACATTTTATATGCAGTTCTAAGCCACTTTGCAAAACACTATTTCTTTATATTTTTCCTGTGTGGTGGTAGCTTATATTGTAAAATCGACAATCTATTAAAATTCTTACATATTTGTATCCTGCTGTCATGTGTCTAGACCTGAAAAATTAAACTATTGTCAAGTATGCCATTTATATTCATTTCTCTCAAAATGTAACAGGTTTTCTGGAAAACAAGCCTATGGTAAATTAACGAATTTCTTGCAAGAGCTTCTTACAATGCTGCCTCATCTCTAAATAGCTGTGTACATGCAATTCAGTCATAGTATATGAGATTAGTTTATGGTGCAATGGTGTCTCTTTGTATTTATATGTGATTCATTATATATGCTTTAAGTACTTCTTCATGTCAGGTCAAATTTCGTGAGAGATTTAAATTTATTGTATATAGTTTGGATGAAATCAGCACCTTAGAACAACAATTTCAAGCTGATAACAGATCAAATAAATAAAATAATAGACACTTTGCAAACTAGGCTTTATTTTACTCGGAACAGAAGGACTATATTTACAAAATGTCTGAGACAAAGAGGTGAATATATCTTTACACAAGATTTTGTGCACATATACAACTATTTTATAATAAATACTCTATAGCTATTTCTTTTGTGTTGCTCGACCCATGATGGCTTGTTTGGTGTTCCTTTCAGGACGCAAGAGGATGATGTAGCACTTCGGGGCAAATATTGCCACCAGCAGGCCAAAACTAGAGGCCAAAATAGCAAAAACCTCTATAGCCACTGAATACTTCCCTGGGGAGCTGATGTATGCAGGAACGAAAGTGATCCACACAGCGCAAAAGATTAGCATGCTGAAGGTGATGAATTTGGCCTCATTGAAGTTATCTGGAAGGTTCCTTGCCAAAAATGCCAGCAAGAAGCTCATAGCAGCCAGCAGACCAATGTAGCCCAACAGAGTTGCAAACCATACCACCGAACCCACAGCGCACTCATATACTATCTTAGAGCTGACGTAGCGAGTGTTTTTATAGGGTGTGGGAGATGCTGTAGCCAGCCAGGCTGTACATATGGCCACCTGGAAGGCTGTGAGGACCAACACTGTCCCTCTCTGCTGGGCCACTCCAAACCACTTCATGGCACTTTGGCCTCCTGGCCGGGACGACTTAAATACAGCCACCACCACCATGGTCTTGACCAGGATGCTGGAGACACTCAGAACGAAGCTGATGCCAAATGCCACATGCCTCAGCTGGCATGTCCATAGCTGTGGCTGGCCAATGAACAGAAGTGCACACATGAAGCACAATTTGAGTGACAGTAGCAGCAGAAAGCTTAACTCTGAGTTGTTGGCCCGAACAACAGGGGTGTGTTGGTGACGTACAAATATGCCCAGAACCCCTGCACAGAAGCAGGAGCCGAAAAGGGAGGCCGTTGTCAAGGATATACCAAGCGGTTCCTCGTAGGACAGGAACTCCACCTCTTTAGGGATACAGCGGTCCTTCTCTGGGCTGGACCAGAACTCCTCAGGGCATGCTGTACACTCAGTAGAATCTGAGAAAGAAAGAGAGGCCGAGAGAAGACCTTCATTGACCCATCTGGGTTTGGTGAGTGCAAATTTACTACCAATACTATGCTGTATACTTTTGCTATCAAGGAGCACAGGTTCACCTGTTACGTTGCTGATTTCTCCATCTGCACAGGGCAGACAATCAAAACAGCAGATGGGCAGGCCTTTCCTTCTGGCTCTTCTGGTGCCAGGGGGGCAGATTTCACTGCACACCGACCTGGGCACCTGAAGAGAGGGAAGAATAGGTTAATAGGTTTCGTAAAACAAAGTATTGCCACTGCAATATTTATTGTCTGTGCTATGTGCAAAGAGAGTTTGCCAAGTGCTTTCAGTGTTTGCTTAAAGGTTGAAAAAAATCACTAAGAAAATAATGTAAATAAAAAGTGAAAATTACCAGTGTTAATACAAGTGCATTCTAACATACAGATACAAGGCTGCTTTGGAAGTGCAGAGCATATACTGGCACATGCCCTGCTCCAGTATATGCTCTGCACCTAAATTTGGAATGCAGTTTCATGCTGAAAAGTGATTTACTTTGTGTGAATCGAAGTTCCAGAACAGTGCATCCTCATCTAGTGTGAGGACATAATCTGCTTGTGCGGCCTCATCCACCATGCCGACCGTATGGACCTTGATTGACCCTTCTGGGTTTGGCTGCCAGTTCATGACATCGTAGATAGCCAGAGCATTACCATCTTTGTCAAATGATACATGGTCTCCAAAGCCAGTAGTGAAGTTCACTTTCTGTAGGTAATCGACAACCTGCACAAGAGACAATCAGAGAGGACAGGTGTTAGACATGTGTGGTTGACATGAATGTTGTAAATACATTATGAACTCATGTCATTGTACAAGAATGGTCACCTAGGGGCGCACTATTAAAACAATTTAAAGATTAAAAAAAGATCCTATTCTGTTAAGAATCTTTCATTATAAACATTGCAGTTGGACTTAATCTGTGATAGGGAGACTGACATAAGGGTAGTGTAAATGCTGGGACAACAGTAGCTTTTAAATATATTGAATAATAAGCTTTCCCTATATTGGTAAATACAGAGGTAGAACAAGGGTGGCCATGGATCTGCTTTTATTTGTTTTTCAAAATTGTATTTTTTTAAGCATTTACTATATAACATTTATTAAAATACATTTTTAAAAATTTGATACCTACCTTCTTTAACTTCTTTAATTATATATAGCTTTGAATTTATGGCCCTGGCCCACCACAAAAATGTTTAGGGAGCCCTGATAAAAAACTATACATAACTGTCTCACCTGCCAGGGCTGTATGTTGCCTAAGCTGGCACAGATATGTCCACTGAAAGGCCCTTTTCCGTCTTCGCATGTCGTCAAGTCATGCAGGGCATGCGCCAGAGCATAAACAGCCTTATACACATTATAGGAAGCCCTTAGCTCAGATATATCTGTGTATGCTGTGTCTGTGTTTCTGAGGTTTTCTTCTCCTGTGCACACTTTTTTCTCCCCTTCTCCATCAGCCTGTATACCTCCAGAATCAAATGTACATCCAAACATTTCCTCCCAGAAGTTCCGTACCATGTTGTTTTTTGGATGCCTGTCTGGTTGAAGGCGAAGCAGGAAGTCCCGTAGTCCCTGGATCTCCCCACGGCGGATGGCGATACCAAGTGTGCCACCAAGGTATGGCAGCAGACGTGGGGTGAGGAAGACTGGTGAGGTGGCCCAGGCCTCGCTGGCAATCCACTGCCTGCCAGTTACGTTCCTAAGAGCCACTTCATCCATGAGTGGCAACAGATAAGCCTCAGTGGAGATGACCACCACTACCCTTGCTGTGGAGGCTTTAATCGCTTCGACAATACGCCCCACGTCCTTGCGGTTGTTGTCTCGTGGCAGCATTTCAGAGTAAGCTACACAGCCACTGAGCTGCCCCTGCACGTCCTGGTGGAAGGCGTGGGCAGCATGGATACCATAGTCATCGTCACTGTAGACCAGGCCCACCCAGGTCCAGCCGAATCGCTTCAGGATCTGGACAATGGCATACACTTGGAAGGCGTCACTGGGAATGGTCCTGAAGAAGGAGGGGTACTGACGCCGGTCACTGAGACAGGAGCAGGTGGCGAAGTAGCTAACCTGATGGAGGGAGAGAGAGAAGGAGAGTTAATACAGTGAGAGAATGGAAGACAACATGACAGAACAAGCATATAAAATGGCATGGAGGAAAATGATTTGCTAATAATTACAATATTCTGTTCTCACAAAAGTCCACAGTTCTCAATTTCCTACACATGAATAGCAAACCAAACTTTCTCTGAATCTGTACCATGGGTACTCGAAACAACCCCAGCACACTAGAGATAGCGATAGAGTGTGTGGATCCCGGGTCCCCCACTATCCCAATCACTGGGGGAGAACCAGTGCAGTCCACACTGGAAGCAGCTTCATCTGTCCCACTGAGCAGGGCCATAGCTGCCCGGAATGCAACCGCAAGCTTCACGCAGTTATCGTACATGTGGTAGCCTAGAGTGATATTGGGCAGTAGTTTGGGATTTCTGTTGATCTCATCAATAGCAAAAGCCATGGTCTGTGCCTGCTGGAAACTTGCCATGTCAAACCTGAAGCACAATCAGAGAGAAGGAGACTGAGCGAAACAAGTAACGATACACAAGTAACAATGGGCACATTCACTAAATTGCATAATACAATTGTGCTGTTAAATGTTTTATCTTCGGCAACCAGAGCTACTACATGCTTTTCAGAGTTGCATTATGCTTTGACCTACCATATAGCAAGCACAGTATATCGCTGTTGTTAGAAGAAAACCTTGTATTTTCCAAGTCATTTTGGGTCATTTTGTTTAGTCCATTCATCATGAAATTTACACACAATGTAAAGGGCAACAGACATTTTCGAATTATGTCAAAAACTGAAAAACGTAAAAAAATGGAAATACAAGGGTTTTTTTCTGACAACAGTGATATATACATTATATACCTTAAAGTAAACGTAGGACAGTGCACTGTAAATTACTTCTGTCATTACAGAAGTAGTCAAACAATTGCAAATCGCAAGTACATGCCTATAATCATGATCATTTGTTTTTCCTATGAATAAATTAACAGTTTACTGTTCTTCTTTTGAACCATCTCTCTGTCGTTTATTTGGAGCACAGTAGCACTCCTCTGTTGAGCCCATTCAGTGGCCACTCACTGTTCACAATAGGGCTGTTCCGGTTCACTGGTGAAGCTAAGCTCTGGGAACACAGTGAGAAAGTGGACCTCAAACAGGCCCCCCAGAATCAGGTCTCCATCCTGGTACATTCCATTAAGTTTGAAGTGCCCCCGCAGCTGGCAGGAGCCTGACCCCGAGCCTGAGCCTGGGGTCGGGGATGCAGAACGGGAGAGGGAGGCTGAAGAACTCCAAATCACGCACAGATACAGATATGAAACAGTGCACATCTTTCTCTCTCAACTTCAGAATGTCTTCCTGTCTTGCTCTTCAGCCTCTCTCACACACCTGTCTTCTTCCCTGGTTTGTGGTAAACATGGGGGTGACTGTTGTTTTATACAGCAGATGGGGTCATGTGGGCCTCTGAGGAGATGATGGCATTGTTCCGCTTTTGTTTTTTGTTTTTCCATTTTGCACTTCCAAGTTGTGTATGTTATTTTTGTAACTGTAAAATCCATTCATTATCATGGTCATATTTAGTGGAGTTTGCTAGTTTACTTTGTTTTTCTGCTATAATTTTAATGTGTAGACCTAGGGGTCGACAATGTTATGATGTGTATTAGTATCATGATAAATTGTCACATTATGTTGCAATATGTGGGTATTATCAGAACGTAAAGAACACTGAACACTAACCAGCTGTATGTTTCATTACGTAGAGAATATAATTAGGTCTGGTTAGTTGGATTTAGTTCAGGCAAGAATGTGAAAAATTCCATACATCCGTAAAATAAGTAAATAAATTAATGTGTATCGTGAAACTGTGTATCATGATGGTACATTTTTATGTGGCCACCTCTATCTAATAATGGCTGATAACATGACATATGATAATTAATATGATAATGCCTGATAATACGAGACAGAGTTAAAAAAAAAATATATATATATATATATATATATATATATATATATATATATCGCTGCTGTCAGAACAAAACCTTGCACCTCCATTTTTGTCATTTTTCAGCTTTTGACATAATTTGAAAATACCCATAGTCCTTTGTATTGTGTGTATATTGCATGATGAATGGACCAAAAGAAATGAGATAAAACTATTTGGAAAAATGTCTGGTTCCATTGACTTGCATTAAAAGTAGAGTATGTTTTTACCTTCTCCTGTAAAGTTATTTATATATATATATATATATATATATATATATATATTCACATAAGTGATCATCTATTTTTTACTTTCTGCCTAATTACTGAACTGCAAGGAGGCCTGTCAGTAGTTCCTGTTAGTTCTACCATGTCCTGCAGATGGCAGTGTTACACTTTGCATCGGCTGCACGCCTGTTTAACAAGAAAAGTCTGAATCTGAGACTCACCCAGTGTTGCCCATACAACACTGCATTTTCCCTCTACAACCTACACACATACATACACATTCATAAGTGGAATTACTTGTCAAGTTTTATAACATTGAATGAACAATATATATTTAAATATATTAATCTATACTAGAGGTATCGTTTAGATGTTTCTTTCAATTTTTATTTTGTTTATATCAAAACATTATTCAGTCCTAAATATGTTACTGTAATTTTATCTTTACAATTAGTTGTCAAATGGTCTGCTTCCAGATTTGATCACCATTTTTTGTATATGTGAGGCATTCTGCTCATTACTTTTATTATATCTTCATTCTCACTGTTGTATAGATATTTTAGAATCATTTACAGCTCTAGATCTTTCTCAAAACATCTGAACTTTCTAACATTTTTACAGCTGGAAATTGTTTGAACACTAAATTTAGTTCTAGCATCATGCTGTACTAGCAAACTAGTGTCACTGTGTCTGCAACCAAACTTCTTTCTTTCTTTCTTTCTGCATTAATACACTGGTCTATTGTTTACACTTTTGGGCCTGGGGTTAGAGTGGAATGCCAATTTCTGTATTATAAATGGTTAAGATGCAAACAAAGTCATTCACAGGGGTGGTAAAAAGTACATGACTTCTGAAAAGTTTAATGTCTCATTAAATTCAACCGCTTCCTCACAGAAACATATTACATGAAATGGATATGAATGCAGTGCCTCATGCCTGAGACATTGTTTTACAATAGTCACTATAACACATGAAATCTCAGGCAATGTGTGGGTTCACTGGTGTTTGGATAGCAGATAAAATGGCTATATTTGTGGCATTAAGACATTGTAACTTCTGGTTTTTTGTTACCACCACTGTAAAGAAATATGTTTGTATGTTTCTTTACAATTTACTATTTCACATAAAACCACTCTGAATGACTTTGTTTATACCTCAGCCACTGTGTTATGCAGAAATTTAGAAAAAATGGTGAAATTTCCCTTTTGTTGAAGTGTTTGAAGGTGCTGCGTTAAACGTCTTCCTATCGGGCCTAAAATAATATACTAGGGAAATAGACGACTCATACTTCTGTTAAATCGCTCGTTTGTTCCAGGCATGCTTAATGCTCAACCCACTTCAGGATTGCTTTTCCCGGCCTCCTTTGCCTCTCATTGGCCAGTCTCGCCATCAATAAGCTGTGTCACCAGATGACATGACTGTTGTGTCTTTTATAAGGGAGAGTCTTCCAGTTTGCCATACACTTTAGATGGGGTCATCTGTGCCCATGGTCTTATTCAGGAGCCTCTGTGATGCCTGGAAAGATGCCAGTCTGTGAGCTGGTACTGCTGGCCCATTTTTTGTTCCTTTTGCCCAGGGTTGAATCTTCTGAGTCAGTTAGTGCATGTCGGAGGCTGGGGGAATTTGTTCCTCAGGTGCTGGAGGTTGATGGTGATGTTATTCTTGGAGGACTTTTCCCTCTGCACTACATGGCCCCAGAACCTGACCACATTTTTACAGACCGAGCACAGTTTAAGAGGTGTAGTGGGTGAGTGACACTGTGCTGACTGTGAACAGGCTTTGGAAGAAGGGATTCCGCATGAAAGGAGCAAGATACGGTATCTAATGGAGACAGGATGGCTTCAGTGCAAAGTGCCTGGAGGTCCCAGAGATCTCTAGTTAAATAACAGGAACTGCTTTTGTCTAGGATGAACCTGTGGCTGTTCTTTCTAGATGGAAAATAGATGACTGAAAGCACCTCTTTGCTATGTTACATGCTGTAAAGTCTCATGTTTTCTCTTTGTGTTAACAATGTCAGTATTGGTTTTTCACTTTGACTTGATTAATTATCGACTTTGTGCATCAGTCTAGGCTTTCTCCCACACTCCCTTATGCAGCTCTCTCTCTCTTTCTCTTTCTCTCTCTCCAGGTTTGATCTGAGGGCCTTTCGCTGGGCCCAGACTATGGTGTTTGCAATTGAGGAGATAAACAGGAACCCTGTCCTTTTGCCAGGGGTAACGCTTGGTTATCGGATTCTGGATAGCTGCGATCATGTCCATACCAGTCTGCAGAGTGTTCTCTCCCTTGTAAATGGTTCCTCTGCCCTTGAAATAGAGGAGCTTGCAGCCAGTAGCCCTCATAGCACTCACTGCCTCTCCAGAGCTCCGGTTCCTGCTGTCATAGGCCTGGCATCGTCTACACCAACCCGAGCAGTAGCCAACATTTTAGGGCCCTTTGATATCCCCCTGGTGAGCTTGGGCTTGGGCTTGGACTGACCAAACCCTTTCTAAGATGTAGATATGTACATCTGTAATCAGTTGAAAAAACAAGCATTCAAAAATATGTTTGTTATAAAAGTACTTCTGGGGGGTAGAATAGCCAATCCTAGTGGCAAATAGCCACAATTAAAATAAAACCTGGCTGATTAGTCTTTGTGGCACTTTAATCTTGTTGGTCAGTGAATGTTTTGAATAATTGTATCTGCCATTTTACTGTAATAATCTTCCTCTTCTGCATGACTGCCAGTCAATGTTTGTCTTGTTTCCCTTATCAAGACCTGACATTGCTACTTAAAATACCTAAGAATGTACAGTCTTAGTTTAAATTTATTTTTGCGTATCTGCAATGATGCCAAATAGCAGATGCTCATACTGTGTTTTAATACTTCTTTTTTCAGCCAAAAATGTGAGCTTTATATATTTTTAAATGCCTAAGCACAGCTTGAATTGAAATACATGTCTTTAAAATAGTTACTTACAGGAGGAGGCAAACATTTTGATGAAATTCTCTAACATTGTAAAAGAAAGCTGCTGTGTTCGATTGATGTGGAAAAATTAAAATTGAAATGGAGATACTTTTTCTTGTTTTTTGGACAGTGATGATATGCTACAATCCTACAATCATTTCATACAGTATTATTCCTCATTTGACAGTCTCAGTTTTTTTTTTTTATTTCACTTGTGATCTTAAATCTTTGTAGATGAAAAAAGTAATCACATCCAGACTTATTCAGCTAACCTCCCTTCCCTTCCCCACTTTCGCTTCATCTCTGTCTTTGTACTCCTAGATCAGCTACTTTGCCACCTGCACATGTTTGACCGATAAGCGGGTGTACCCCTCTTTTCTGCGCACTGTTCCCAGTGATGTCTTTCAGGTGCGAGCTCTGGTGCAGCTGATGGCCCATTTTGGCTGGCGCTGGGTGGGCACAATAGGCACCGATGAGGACTACAGCCACTATGGAATCCAGGCCTTCACTGAGCAGCTGGAGGAATGGGGCGGCTGCGTAGCTTTCCACCGCACCATCCCCAAGGTGCCTACTCCGGCACAGATCTGTGCCATTGTTGATGCCCTGGAGGCCTCCACCGCTCGGGTTGTTGTAGTGTTTGCCACAGAAGGCCAGCTGCTGGAGCTGCTTTCAGAGGTAGCACGGAGGAACCTGACAGGCTGGCAGTGGGTGGCCAGTGAGGCCTGGGTGACTGCTAAAATTCTCACAGCACCAGAGTTCCAGCATGTGCTGGCTGGGGCACTAGGGTTTTCCTTCAGAGGTGCCAACATCTCTGGGCTGAGTGAATTTCTCCTGCGTGTGCGGCCCTCACCTGGCTCCAGGTCTGTCTTCACTAACCAGTTCTGGGAGGAGCAGTTTGGCTGCAAGCTGACTTATGGAGACAGTGAGGTCATGGATAGGCCACTCTGTACTGGTATGGAGGATCTGGGGCTGGTTGAAAGCAGCTATACAAGTGCTTCTCCAGCACGGGTGTCCTATAACGTGTATAAGGCAGTATAT